ATCCGCTATGTTTGCCCTTGCATTGGTAGAAAAAATGCTCTCCTTCCCATCCATGGACATGCCTGGTTGGCTTTTACCTTCAAGTTCATAGGCATCCACCCTTCAGTGGTACTTTTTGGTGTATAGTGATAACATTCTTATGAATGAAAAGTAGAATATGGCTAGTTTTCAGTAGGCTCAATCTACCTATCTCCTCTAATTTATCATTGGAGGGATAGTGATGAGTCCCCTTAACAGTTAGGTATAACATCATAAGCAATAACATCTTACAAATTTTGACATAGAAACATACTAAAATTACATGTAGGAAAGCAACCACGAAATTCTAAGGACTTCTGTTATAAGATTCCCTTCTTCACTGACCATACCAGCTACTGACTAGAATGAAGAACTCTATGGATGTCTATGATATTTCCCATGGTGGAAGAATCACACACAGCAACCTTATCAGACTGGAGGATGTGCAAACAATCTCCAAAATCCAGTTAAAGAGAAAAATAACATGCTGTAGTTTTGTAAACACACACAAATAAAATATAAAAATCTAGTCCTGTTGCTTACCTCTGTATGAGTCCATGACCACACAGTTTTCATCATTATTTTGAAAGTTAGGTTCATCTGGGGCCCAAGCTACATAGTTCACTAGGGAACCATCTATCCAGCTAAAGGAAATGATATAACGGTAATTATTAATTACAACAGCACTTCTTGAAAGGGACACATCAATCCATTATGGGGTTGGATTCAATGATCTTTCAAGGTCCTTTCCAGCCCTTAATTTCTATTATGCTATGATTACACAACTAATTTGGCAATAATTCTGAAAGATATGCTCAGAATTAAGTGTATACACTTTTAAGAACAGAAAATCCATTAACATTAATGGCAGATTTATGATTAAAAGTGATCATCAACTGAATCAAAACTTGTGAAAGAGGTGATCTTTTTTATTCCCAAGATTGGGGCTACAAAACTTTAAAAAATGCCTCCAAAACAAAAACTACAACAAGCTGAAGAACAGGCATATTGCCTCAGGAATGGCATTTGGGCTTGAAAGCTTACAAAGATATAAATTTTTTGCTACTATTTAGTTGGTCTAATAAAAGATATTGCCTCTACCACAGGAGTTTTGTTTGCCCCAAATGACAGCACAAGAAAGGAAATAATCATTATAACAGGAACCCAGGGATTCCCTGTTACTAATGAGCAGAAGCTATCAGTGAAGAGAACTCCAGGGGGCTAGGCTGCCTACTAAGAGCACCAGAAGAACAAGCTGAGCACCTTAGGCTGGGACAATGCTTACAGTAGAGCTAGTGGTACTGAAATACTTCAGTAGGGCAGAGACTACTTAGTACAGTGATCTTCCTACTGCAAAACTAGCTGCCCCACAGTAGTACCAGGAAGCAGAAAATTAGCTTCTATCCCAGAAGCTGGAAGTAGCTCTAAAGGGAAGCCAGTTAGGCTGAAGAGAAGCACCTGTGGTAACTGGGAGGTAACAAGACCAGGGCTAGGGAAAGACATTCCAAAAGCCCGAGCCTGAATTGATTTAATCTTTGCGAATCAGTCTAACCTGCAAAGAGTAAATCAGTTTCCAAATGGTAGACGTTCCCTTTCTAATCAGGAAACGCAGGCACATGCCTGCAGTGGCTCAAACCAGAAGCCCAAGGGTGCTAAAGCAGCCCTTCCTTCCACAAGATAGCTGACCTGAGGAGGCGGGACATGGCCATGTCCCGGCAGGCCCGCCCCAGTAGCTCCCTGACAGCTGGGAACAATCCCAGCACACAGGGCTGCCCGGCCCCAAAGGGGAACTCTTCCCCCTCCTCCCTTTCCCACACCACCACAGGGTTGGGAGGGGGGCCCTGTTCAGTGCTGGAGAGGCTCTTCTCCCTCCTCCTTCCCTCCCACCCTCCAGGACAGCTCACACACCCACACCCCCCAAAGGGGCAGCAGGAGCACAGAGCTCAGCTGGGCAGGGTGTGGGTGTGTAGGGTGTGAGAGTGGGAAGTCCCACACTGGACTCTGCAGGGAAGCAGGGGTGGGGCTCCCCCCCCACTCCTGGCAGCATGCGGGGACTTGCAGGAGGGAGCAGCAGAGGCAGTAGGCTCCAGTGTGGGGCTTCCCCTGCCAGAGCCATGCTTGCACTGGCACAAGCATCCTGACCTCCCTGCCTGCTGCTGCTGCCAGGCAGTGGGGGCTGCATGCCACAAGGGGACTGTGTGGGGACCCCTATACCCCCCACTCACCCACACCCTGCCCAGCTGAGCTCTGTCCTCCTGCTGCCCCTCTGGGGGGAGAAGGAGGAGAAAGAGTTCCTTCCACCGTGGAACAGAGCCTGCCCCTGCCTTGCCTCCCCTCCCCTCCCCTCCGGGATCAGGCAGCACTGCATGGAGCCCCCCTCCCAGCTCTGCAGGACAACCAACCCAGCATGGTCTAATTAAAGTGAAGGGGGCAGGGAGAAGGGTTAATTCCTCCCTCCATCCCATCCCTTCCCTGCAGCCAAGGTCTGCCAGCTCCAGGGTCCACCACTGCAGCCCCCTCTGCCCCCCAGCAGACAGGTTGACCTTGGCTGTGGTGGGGGAAGAGGAGAAAGAGGGAAGAATTAACTACCTCCCTGCCCACTTTGCCTTAACGAGGCCATGCTGGCTGGTGTCTCTCCTAGGGCCTGTCCCTGCTCTAGGCTACAGAGCAAAGGGGTGAGGTCAGCTCTGCAACTGCAGCAGAGAGCCCTGCCCAGCCCAGAGAGCATGCCAGGATGCTGGGGGGCGGGGGGGAGCGGTGGTTCTGGTTTATCTTAAATCAGAAGGGATCTGGGACAGACATCGCATAAACCAGTTTGAGCCAAATCAGTTAAGTCTGATACTGCATTCAACCAGGTATATCTCAAACCAGTTTGGGCCATTTTGAAACTGGTTTATGTGCACAGAACATCCGTTCTGTTACAGATTTAAACTAGTTCTGATCACTTAAACTGGTTTATGTGTAATGTCTGTCCCTAGCCAGGGTAACAGACCCTCAGCTACATATAAACTCAGGATTTGAGCCTCAGAGGTGCTGTCATGCAGGCTGCCAGGGAAGAAGCTCTGCACTACGTTGACTGAAGATGAAGGACTGTAAGACTGTAGGAGACAGTCCTTCAGCCTAAAGTGCAATTGGAGTTGCAGCTAGCAAGGGATGTGAAGGGTAACAAGAAGGGCTTCTACAAGTAGCAAGAGGAGAATCAGGAAAACTGTGAGTCCCTTACTGAATAGGGGAGGCAACCTTGTGACAGAGGATGCAGAAAAGACTGAAGTGCTCAATGCCTTTTTTGCCTCCATCTTCACAGGAAAGGACAGCTCCAAGACTACTGCACCAGGCAGCACAGTTTGGAGAGGAGGTGACCAGCCCTCAGTGGTGAAAGAACAGGTTAGGGACTACTTAGAAAATCTAGATGTGTACAAGTCCATGGGGCTGGACACGGGCAACTGGTGCTGCCTTAGTCAGGGGTCTCCCGTGGCCAATCCTGCCAACTGGGGCCAATCTTGCTGATGGGGGGCAGGCATTGCGAGACAGCCAATCATTGTGGCTGATCACTGCAGCCATTTCTGGAACTGGCTGCAGCCACTTCTGGGAGTGACATGGCACTCTACTCCCCAGCTGGTGCTTGCAGGGGGGGCACCAGTGCTTCCACCTGCCCACCCTGCCTGTCGCCTAAGTGGCGAGCACAGCCAGTTAGGGAGTGCACCCCTTGCAGTCCCTATGTATTGACACTGGGGCCAGAAGGGATGCACCTGAGGTTGCTGCGGGAGTTGGCTGATGTGATTGCAGAGCCATTGGCTATCATCTTTGAAAACTCCTGGTGATCAGGAGAGGTCCCAGATGATTGAAAAAGGATGAACATTGTGCCCATATTTAAAAAAAAGGGAAAGGAAGATCCAGGGAATTACAGACCTGTCAGCCTCACTTCAGTCCCTGGGAAAATCATGGAGCAAATCCTCAAGGAATCCATTTCCAAGCACTTCAAGTAGAAAAAGTTGATTAGGAACAGTCAGCATGGATTCACCAAGGGCAAGTCATAGCTGACCAACCTGACTGCCTTCTATGATGAGGTGAGTGATTCTGTGGATGCAAGGAGAATGGTGGATGTGGTGTACCTTGATTTTAGCAAGGCTTTTGATAAGTCTCCTACAACCTTCTTGCAGGCAAGCTAAGGAAGTATGGGCTGAATGGACTGTAAGGTGGATATAAAACTGGATGGAGCATTGGGATCTAAGAGTAGTAACCAATGGCTTGATGTATAGTTGGCAGCCTGGTATTAAGTGGAGTCCCCCAGGGATTGGTCCTGGGGCCAGTTCTGTTCAATGTCCTCATTAATGACCTGGAAGATGGCATAGAGTTAACCCTCAGCAAGTCTGCAGATGACACCAAGATGGGAGAAGTAGTAAGTAAGCTGGAGGGTAGGGCTAGGATTCAGAGTGACCTAGACAAATTGGAAGATTGGGCCAAAATGAATCTCATGGGGCTCAACAAAGTCCTGCACTTAGGATGGAACAATCCCATGCACCAGTACAGGCTAGAGGCTGACTGACCAGGCAGCAGCTCTGCAGCAAAGGACCTGGGGGTCACAGTGGACAATAAGCTGAATATGAGTCAGCAGTGTGTCCTAACTGCCAAGAAGGCTAATGGCATACTGGGCTGCATTGGTAGGTGTGTTGCCAATAAGTCAAGGGAAGTGATTATTCCCCTCTATTCAGTACTGGTAAGGCCACATTGGGAGTACTGTGTTCAGTTTTGGGCCCCCCACTACAGAAAAGATGTTGACAAATTGGACAGAGTCCAGCTGAGGGTGACAAAAATGTTGAGGGGACTGGGGGACATGACTTGACGAAGGACTTGGGGAACTAGGCTTATTTAGTTTAGAGAAGAGGAGACTGAGAGGAGACTTAATAGCATTCTTCAACTATCTGAAGGGGAGTTCAAAAGAAGATGGAGCTAGCCTTTTCTCAGTGGTGGCAGATGACAGAACAAGGAACAACAGGCAGCCTTAAATTGCATCAAAGGAAGTTTAAGTTAGGTATTAGGAAGAGTTTTCTCACTAGTAAGATAGTAAAACACTGGATCAGGTTACCCAGAGAGGGGGTGGAAGCTCCATCCTTGCGGGTTTTCAAAACCTGGCTAGACAAAGCTTTGGCTAGGATGACTTAGTTGGGGATGGTCCTGCTGTGAGCAGAGGGTTGGACTAGATGACTAGGTGAGGTACCTTCTAACCCTAACTTTCTATGATTCTATGAGACCCCCACACCAGAAAGAAACAGAGTTTACTATGTGCAGGACTTTCTTATGCAGCCAAAGTGCTTCATTTTATTTATGGACTGAGCACTGACTTTTCTGTTACGATTATGACTAGAGGAGCAGGATTGGGACTGACAGGGGAGATGGAAATCCCAAAGTGCCTGAGGGGTGCATGAGGATTACAAGCCCTACCAAGGGCTGGACTCAGGTAGGAGACAGGATAGGACACAGCTAAGGAAAGCTGCAACCTGAGGACAAGGGCACAACCCCAGGCTGAGAGGGGTGCAGCCAGGGACTTAAAGGGGCATTATCAGGTCAATAAAGGCTGAGACTTGAAGCCTTGACGAGTGAAGAGGGAGCCAGGAAGGATGAGATCAGAGCCTTAAGGGGCAAG